GTGTGTGTGTTTTACATCCTACTACACTTGCCAGAACCTCATTGTTTACCAGCGATACACATTGTATACCCCTGATGTAAACAGCTATGGTGCTGGTGGTGTGAGGTAGAGTAAACACACACACACACACACACACACACACACACACACACACACACACTTCAATCAAAAAGTCAGAGGATAAAGACAGAGAACACAATAGACGGAAGCACAAGGAGACAGAAAGACGGTTACTAGTGCTAAGAAACGACAGTAGACGGAAGTACAAGGAGGCATCAGTGGGACAGTGTAGTGTGGTAGTTCCTAGGAGACAGAGAGAGACAGTAATAGTGTTAAAAAGTGACAGAACTGACAGGAGACAGACATACTGTCCACTCTACGCTCTCTATACTGTACCATTCAAGTAATTAACACCTGTAATACCTCCTACTGTACCATTCAAGTAATTAACACCTGTAATACCTCCTACTGTACCATTCAAGAAATTAACACCTGTAATACCTCCTACTGTACCATTCAAGTAATTAACACCTGTAATACCTCCTACTGTACCATTCATGTAATTAACACCTGTAACCTACTGTACCAATCATGTAATTATTACCTGTATTACCAGTAAATTTTCTCCAGCTAAGTAAACAGTTTCATTTTCAGTGGGCCGCCGTTCAGCCTTTGTGGTATTTTCTAAGGACATTCCAACGAGCAGAACTTGTCGATAAAAATGGTGAAAAAAATCCAATTGTTTTTTGTGCTTACGTTCCCGGCTGTGTCACCCAATATACTGAGGTGGCTGAAGATATTATACCACCTCTCCTTCCTTCCTTCTTTCCTTCCTTCTTTCCTTCCTTCTTTCCTACTTTCTTTCCTACTTTTCTTTCCTTGCTTCGTTCTCTCTTCCTTCTTTGTTCCTCCTTTCGCACCTCCTTCCTTTTCCTTCCTGGATGAATGAATGTATGGAGAGAGAGAGAGAGAGAGAGAGAGAGAGAGAGAGAGAGAGAGAGAGAGAGAGAGAGAGAGAGAGAGAGAGAGAGAGAGAGACAGACAGACAGACAGACAGACAGACAGACAGATAGATAGATAGATAGATAGATAGATAGATAGATAGATAGATAGATAGATAGATAGATAGATAGATGGAGTAGTTTACAATGATTTACTCTGATAATAACATACACTTTGTTTACATGTTGTTCGGACTTTTCATATAGGCTTAAACCCAGACTTTAAAGGAAATTCGTTTTTTTATTAAATGGATGAAACGGTGTGTGTGTGGTGTGTGTGTGTGTGTGTGTGTGTGTGTGTGTGTGTGTGTGTGTGTGTGTGTGTGTGTGTGTGTGTGTGTGTGTGTGTGTGTGTGTGTGTGTGTACCAATACTATGAAACAATAATGATGGGTATGCAATAATACTAATAATATAAGAGTAAATCAATGACTGCAATACAACACCACACCATCTCTGCAACATTAACATCTCTAGAACATTCCCACCACACCACCTCCTGCAAATAACACTTCAGAACACCCCAACACACCACCTCTGCAACACAACACCCCTAGAACACCTACCACACCACCTCTGCAACACAACACCCCTAGAACACCCCACCACACCACCTCTGCAACACAACACCCCTGCAACACAACACCACACCACCACTGCAACACAACACCCCTAGAACACCCCACCACACCACCTCTGCAACACAACACAACACAACACTAGTTCGGCCGCCATACAGCGGTACCAACAAGAGATACTGCTCGCTGCCCACCTCACCAACACAAAGCTATTGAAAACCGACACCATTTATTCAGCTAAAAAGTTGCCGATAGAAATGGACAGATGTTGACAAATTGTTGTTTATTTGTTGTGTTTTTGTTGTTGTTGTCTGTCTCGTAAAGTAATTGGTAAGAGGAAGTACAGATAGGAAGTACAACTCTAACCTAACTTAATCTAATCTAACTTAACCTAACCTAACTTAACCTGACCTGACCTGACCTGACCTGACCTAAGATATAAATTCCAGATGCATTTTTTTACCTGGTTTCATCTCGACCAAATTATTCAAGAACATTCACTTACTATTTCAGGGTTGTAAAGGAGACAGTTCGTTACCTCATCTAGCGTATATATACATCCGATTTATATAAGTATAAACATTTCACACCCCCCCCTCCCCTTCCCTACCTCCCAATATTAATAATAAAAATCGCTTGAGTTCTTTATACCGTGGATATAAATTTTCATCAGTCATAAAAGTTCCCGGTATGAATTAATCTGCCGAATGTTTCAATACAAAGTTAAACTTGTGGATGAGTATGAATAATCTATACTCGGTCACACGGGATATGTCGTCACTATGTATATATTAAACTACACATGATCGCCCGACAACTGTTTTGACCGAGTGCAACTTTTCAATTGTATATAAATCGTAAAATATTCGTCAAAATTAAAAAGAAAAAAATCCCAAATTTCCTATATTTTAATTTTTTTTTCGGGGGTTTTATTCGAATTTGTAAATACTCGTGGTATGTATGTATGTATGTATGTATGTATAAGTGTACGTACATATGTGTAACCCTCAAACAAAACTAATTTTCTGTGCTTTATATGTACTTTCGGTCCCATTATAGCCAGGAATAGATCAGACACCTTAAACCACCACGCGAACCGCAGTCAAAGCGCGTTACATATGGTTCCCGGTTCTCAAAGGCTCGCTTAATGAAAACCCTCGTTAGTGGGAACAAAAAACAGTGTAACTAACTGGTTCGCTAAAGTTAAAACACACAAAACATATCTGGAAATGGAGTCACATATGCACTGAGACTCTGCATTAATTAGATCTGGTCATTTGCCACCTTTGGGGAGGGAAAATTACGGGAATTTCTTCATTTGATGATTCT